CTGCAGGGGGGTCTGGCTGCAGGGGGCGTCCGGAGGCGCCTCTGCTGGGTGTGCGTCCTTGCGACCAACCAGGGGCTGTTCTGGGGGCCTCAGTCTGCCCCGGGAGCTGGGATAGCCGGCCCCAGAGCCCCTGGTTCAGCTCCCTCCCGTAACCACTAAAACCAGGCCTAGCTCCTCGTCCTCTCTGGGCCCCACCGAGGCTGGCGAGCAAGTCTGGAGAAGCTCACTCAGGCGCGCAGTGGAAGGGCCACCCAAGTCCTGGTCGCCAACAGCAGGGAGGGTAGCAGTTCATATGTTAATATGTGCAGTGCGACCACATATTGGCCCCAAACCTCCCACCCAGGAATGAAATGAAAGATCTGCGGGAATCTGCGTCTGCACACAACCCTACAACCCCTGCGTCCTGTACTGGGCCTTCTCCCCTGGGACAGAGAAACCTTCAGGGCTGCTTCTCCTGCTTCCCCACATCGCCCAGGACACTCCCCCCAAAAAAACATTTAATTCCCCTTCTTTCACAACAAAGCCTTCTGGTGGTGTAGCCCTTAAGGCATTTGACTGCTAACCAGAAGGCTGACGGTTCAAACCCACCAGCCACTCCTCGGAAGGAAGGTTGGGCAATCTACTTCCGTAGTGATACTGCCTCGGAAACCCAAGGAGGGGTCGCTGTGAGTCGGGTCCGACTCCCCCGCAGTGAGTTTGGTTTGGATTGGTTTCCTTCACACTGCGCTGTTCCACCCTCCACCCCACCGAGGGCCCAACGACCCCCCTGCCCTTAAAGCCAGCGTCTCTGAGTTCTCTCCAGCCCGGTCTGCCTCCCAGGCCAGTCTTGCTCTGCCCATACCATCTCCGGACTTCATTCTGCCCTCACTTTGCCACATTCTGTGAAGAGCTTTCATCCTTCATTTAGCGGCACTCGAGGCTCCCCGCGGCTTTCTGGTTAATATCCTCCTCTCCTGATGTCAGGAAATAGACTGTGAGGCTCACAGACACATGCAACAGACTGCTTGGCTTGTACCCAACTTTGAATTCCTGGTTGTGTTACTGTCACCCTCCTGTACCTCCTTTTCCCAGTCTGAAACTTGACTCAAGCAATGTCTCAGGGCTCCATCTGTTAGGTGCTTAGAACCCTGTTGTGAAGGGAGGGGCTCCATGAACTTTAGCTGACTATGGCAGCAGTCACAGTTCCGGGGTCCCCACCTTGCTGGCTGGCCCTTCTTCGAGCTCCTTTGCTACCTCCCCTCCGACATCATTGAGAAGACTTTGTACTGCAAGTGACAGTCTGCTGGTTCCACTCCTGTCACAGGAGTTCCCTATGGAACATAACTGCACAAAAACATGGTTCTCCATCCTACTTTGGTAAGTAGCAACTGGAGCATTAAAAGCTTGCAGGCGGCCATCTAGATGCAACAATAGGTCTCTTCTCATCCGGAGCAAAGAAGAGTGAAGAAAACCAAAGAGGCGTGGAAACAATTAGTCCAGGGGACCAGTGGGCCATGTGAACCTCGGCCTGTATGACCATGAGACCAGAAGAAGTAGATGGTGCCCAGCTACCACTGTCAATCACTCGGAGGGAGATCATGCAGGAGATCCTGGATAGAGTGGGAGAACAATGTGGAAAAAAACTCAAAATCATTAAAAAAAAAAAAGAAAAGAAAAGAAAAGACCAAGTTTACTGGTCTTAATACAGACTGATGAGAGACTATGGCCCCTAGTTACTCTTCAGGTCTGGAACAGAATTCACTCCCAGGGCTTCCAGCCAAACAATAGGCCTACAAGGTGAACATTTACACCAGGTAGATACACTCCTTAGAATGCTCAATCATGGAAGAACAGAAGGGTAGTGTTTGCACAGGGAGACAGCTCAGGGGGCAGGAATGCATAGGAAAGAAGGACACAGGGAAGAGAGCTGTTACATGGTAGGGAATTGCAGTCAGTGTCATAAAATGTGTATGAACTGCGGTGTGGAAAATGGATTTGCTCTATAAACTTTCACCCAGATCACAATAAATATTAACAACAACAACAACATAGAGGTAGCAATGTAGGGTGCCTGAGCCTTGTGAATCTGACATCTGGTGATGGAGCCAACCTACTCTGTAAATGGCCCTGCCTTTCCCAGCCTGCCTCATGGTTGCAGGATGCCTGCTGTGGCCCCAGACCTTTCACCTCTTCCTGTGTATTCCTGTGTATGCCCATATCGAGACCTCTCCCAGCAGATCTCCTCATAGTTCCACATCTCGCACACACACACACCTAAACCAACTTCAATGCCCAGGAATTAGATCAATGCTCACCGTTAGATCAGGGAGATGGATAGGGACAACAACCCACTCAAGTTGGAGTTCTGCCAGGACAGGGACAGCTGGTCAGGGTCAGGACCATCATGACATCTGCTGGGCCCTCCTCCTCCCAGCCCTGGCCAATCCGTCATCTCTCCCCATCTCACCCTGGGTGATCTCCTCCAACCTCAGAGCTTTAGATGTCGCCTCTGTGACAATCACTTCCAAATCAATACTGCCAGCCTGACCCTTCCCTCTCCTCCAGCTTGTATTTCCTGAAACTAACCCCATGTTTCCATTTGGATGGCCAATAAACATCTCCTGGTCACTGTTAGCAATGAACTGAAGACCATCTTCCCAGCCTCTGTTCCTTACCTAGTATTCCCAACTTTGGTAAATGGATGATCTACCTACCTACCGGCCTACCTCATCAAATAACTGTCTCTCCAACTGTTCAGCTCTGCATATGTCCCACCTCCTCACCATTCCACTTTGGCAAATAGCCTGCGGTGGTGGTTCTCAAGCATGTCAGCAAATTCTGTGACATTCGAGATCAAAAAATACAAACTCATTGCCATCAAGTTGATTCTGATTCATAGCAATCCCCCAATGGGTTTCCGAGGCTGGAAATCTTTATGGAAGTCGATTGCCCCATCTTCCTCCCACAGAGTGGCTGGTGGGTTTGAACCACTGACCTTCTGATACACTGCTTGGAATGATCAATCATGGGAGACCAGAAGGGCAGTATTTGCCCTGGTTAGCAGCCAAGTGCCTTACCCAGAGGTGGGGTCTAATTCCCTCCTACTTGAACATTGCCTTAATGATTTGCTTCTAACCAATAGGACACGGCATAAGAGGCACAGGGAGATTCCGGAGCCTGCTCATACATCAGACAGCTGGCTAACCCTCTCTCGGGATACTGCCCTTGGAACCCAGCCACCATGCTGTGAGGAAGCACAAGCAGCCATGAGGAGGGGACGTGCACAGATGTTCTAAGCACCAGCCCCGACCGGAGGACCAGCCAACAGCTAGCATCAGGCACCTACAAATGAGTGGGAACACCTTCGCAATGACTCCAGCCCAGCCACCATCTGACTGCAATCACATGAGACCAAAACGAGAGTCCCCTAGCTACACCCAGTCAACCTCCTCACCTATGAGGCATAATAACAACAGATGCTTTGGATATTTCTACAGGATGAAATTTGAGGAAGTTTGCCATTCAGCTACTGATAAATAAAGCAGGTTTGGGTACTGGAAGTGGGGTGCTACCACTAAAAAACCTAAACCCCATGGTAGTGGCTTTGGGATCGGGCAGTGGAGGGATCTGGAAGGGGGTTGCCCAAGCTGACAGAACTTAATGGAAAGTGGGGACGCTGTAATTGGAAGACGGAGGAAAGGAGATCCTTGTTATGTAGTGGCAAAAAGTTTCACAACACTCACTTGTGGAATGGGAGATGGAAAATGTATCCAGCGCATGAGATGATCCAGCTGAGGCCGTTTCTAGGCAGGATGTTGAAGAGCTGCCTGGCTGCTTCCCGTCGCCTACGATGGGAAGAGAGAACTGCACTCAAGAATGAACGGGGAGATCCAGATGCACTGATGGGTCTCTTCTCATCTAGAGCAAAGAAGAATGAAGAAAACCAAAGATGCATGGAAACAATCAGTCCAAAGGACTAGTAGACCGTGCATACCTCAGCCTACATGACCTTGAGACCAGAAGAACTTGATGGTGCCCAGCTATCACTGTCAACCACTCAGGAAGGGATCAGTGCAGAAGGGCCTGCATAGAGTGGGATAAAAATGTAGAACAAAACTCAAAATCGTGAAAAAAAAAAAGACCAGGCTCTTACTGATCTGACAGAGACTGGTGAACCCTCCGAGACCATGGTCTGTGTCAGCTTTCAGGCCTGGAATTGAACTCACTCCCATGGCTTCCAGCCAAGCAACAGACAGACCTATAGGGTGAACATTTACATCAGATAGATACTCCTTGGAGCGATCAATCATGGCTGAACAGAAGGGTAGTGTTTGTGCAGGGAGACAGCTCAGGGGCTGGGAATGCACAGGAAAAAAGGACACAGGGAAGAGGTAACTACAGGGAGGAGGTGGGAAGAGAGCTGTTACATTGTGGGGAATTCCAGTCAATGCCATGAAACAATGTGTATGAACTGTTGTATGGAAAATGAATTTGCTCTGTCAACTTTCACATAAATCACAATAAAAAAAAAAAAGAAAGAAAAATCCAACAACCAAAAAAAAAAAGAATTGTTAGAAAGAAATTAGCTTATAGAGTCTTACATACATTTGCACCATGAACCAGAGTTTGTACCCTAGAGAAGTGAAGACCCATGTTCACATGAAAAGCTGTATAAAACACTTAGAGCAGGTCTATTAATAATGTCCCGAGCTTGAAAACAGCCTAATGCCCATCACCTACTAAACAGATAAACACACAGTGGTACAACATACCATGCAACATTATCACAACAAAGAGGAAGGAACTGCATAGAGCTGGAGGCGGGAATTATTTGGTAGGGTCTCCTAGCCATGGTCTTTGTGACGCCCACCAGATCACCGGGTGGAACTATGCAAATGTAAGGTGCTTATGGCCCACTACAGGATTGGAGAGCTTGCTAATAATGTGAATAAGGTACATGGCACCCTTGTGGGGGTAGAGCCATGAAAATGAGGTGTATGGAACTCTAATTTGGGCATTGGTCAGTTTTGCCATCTCACTAGGCTTAAAATGACCTCACTACCATCAAGACTGAAGAGCTGGAGGTGGAGTGGACTGTGTCCTTGGACCTGAGATCCCTACTCTGGACCTCCTTGGTAGAGAGACCAGCAGAGATGACTGGCAGAGACCATCAGCAGAGAGATGGTAGCAGCAGAACCAAGAGGCACAAGCAGCAGGCTTTCTGGCCCACGGAGGGAGTGCCCTTGGGCAGGAAGCTTGCTGATGGAGTGGGGTGCACCTAGGGGCACCTATCAGCAGAGCTAAAAGAGCCTTGTAACACTGGCCTGAGCAGGGCAGAGGACAGGTGAGATGACAAGAGCCAGAGAGTCATGCCTGAGAGTACAGCACAGTGGAGACTGTCCTGATCAAAGAATTGTGTCCTGAGCACGATCCTGAACTTGAATTCTAATCTGTTGCTTCCCTTATAAACCCCGTAACTGTGAGTATTGTCTGTGAGTTCTGTGTGTCCATTGCAATGAATGATCAAACCCAGTAGAGAAGTACTGAGTGCCATGGGAGGGCATAGTTGGTAGAAGGGCGGGAGGACGGCGGCATGTCTCGCTTCATAGGACTCAGCCTTGGGCTGCAGTTGGCGATTGTGTTTCCCCCTCGTCACATTGGAGGAGGTCAAAGGAGGTTGCTGCCTCCTCTTTCCTATGCATTCCTGCCCTCTGAACTATCTCCCTGTGCAAACACTGCCCTTCTGTTCTCCCACAATTTATTGTTCTAAGGATCATATGTACCTGATGTAAATGTTCACCGTATATG